TTTGATTGACCTGATCGATGGGTGTTGCCGATCAGGATGGATGAGCGAGCATCGATCCAGGGCTCCGAGCCGTTCGTCAAGGATTACAAAGACGTCCGTCCGTTGCCTTAAAATCCCACCAGCGCCCCCCCAACGCTTGAGTCGTCTATCGGTAGGATCCTAGTCCCTGCAGTCCCGACTGGGGTGACCACCATATACCCACTCCCATCTGATTACCAACATAAAAAGCCCACATATCTTCTATTTTTCCAGCTTTTAAATCGTTCTAGGTTTTTTTTCGGGGGGGGGAGCTAAGGTAGACTCGGTATTTCTTCTAGCTCACCCACTTTTGCTCCTTTATGTATATCCCCTTACCCCCGTTCCACTCCACCCCTCCTGTCCACCAACCCCAATGGTCTGATTTTGTTTCTTGATACGTGTTTAGGTGATTAAAGATATATGCTCGTTTATTCCCAGCCTTCTTCTCTTTTAGAGTCGTCTTTTTAATTTTCAAGAGCCTTGTCGTTATTTATTTGTAGATACAATATGATCGTATCGATTTTCGTTCGTTTGTTGAAAAGCCTCGCCGAAAGAGTTGATTGAATTATTTGTATGTATTTAGATGGTTCTGGTCTCTATAATTCTCATTGAGCTTCACAGAATGATATCCAAGTGTGCATAGAGAGACAGCTTGTCAATCCGATTCCTGATTGAGTTCGATAATCCATCACATGTATCAATGTTGTACACCCACCCCCTGACCATGTGGGATGCAGGGGAATCGGATTGGAGGAGGAGGTCGACGTATGGGCTGTTCTTGATGATCAAGTCTTTCAGTCGGTCGGAATATTGCTGTTGGATGGTGTCGTCCTACAAATTCAATTTCCAAGTTATGTACATAAGATCTCACTCGCTTTGATTTTCAAAGCGTTCTTGGATACAGTCGACCTGGAAGATACTTTTTACAAGTCTCACTTCAGGAAAGAAAGATCAAAAAGTACACATAGCGGTTTGATTCCAATGACATGATGTGTGTTTATTGTAGCTATCTATTATGTACGTCAACTTTTATTTATAAATATTTTGTTCGGCCTCACAAGCTTCAAGTGTCGGTTTTCAATACATAGGTTCCTTCCTTCCTTTCTTGAGAGGAAACAAAAACAAACCAGGCGCCAGACAGATAACATTAAAATCAAGAAGCCACAAGATTTTTTTCCACAGTTTCTCTGCAAGATTTCCTATGATAATGTATGTAGACCCACAGGAATTTCAAGTATTTTTGTGTTTGGAAGATCGAAAGGCTCGTCGATAGTCGACTCTATAATGAAGAGACGAACACCCAAGAACGCAAGAATCAATCAATCAATCAATGAATTGATTTTGGTCATGACCTTGCGGTTCAAGAAAACCCGAAATTGTAGACAGATGATAGTTAATCTAATCGAAAGTATGTATATGTAGATCCAAGAGCATACCAAAACAAGAGAGAGAGAGAGAAAGTATTCAAGGAAAGGATTGCTTAATGAGATCGTGTCGAATTCTATCTAATCTATCCGTATGACTGTGATATTCTATTATTCAAGAAAGTGATGATGCCCAAAAGATCGAGATTGGAGTCAAGAAAAGGGACCTCAGAACGAAGACCGGCGCCCGAAAAATGTGGCCATCGATCCGGCCAGCCGGCATTGCCAGAAAAGAAGCCGAAAGCCCGAGAGAGAGAACGCGAGATCGCCCAAGATGAAAGCCCAAAAGCAAGAGAGAGGAGGAAGAGGAAGAGTGAGTGAAAGATGGTGACAAGAGAAAGAGCGAAGGCTTCGTTCGGAGATGCGAAGTAGGGTGGGGGTGAGGGGGGTGGATCGATAAATTAAACGGAGGAGCGAGGGGATGATCAAGTGGTATTAGCGATCACGAGCTTCTCGGCCGAGACGGTGGGGATGACCGAGGGCGTGTTGTTGTTGACGGTGGCCAGGAAACAGTTGTAGCCCAGCGAGACGAGGTTGAGGAACGGCGGGCGTCCGTATACGGGCACTAGACTGTTCTCGAGTTTTTGTGGCGAAAAATGGGCGGCGTCGGTGTGTGTGTGTGTTAGAAGGGCCGTACTTGATTCTAGCGTGATAGGTTTGTCGGTCTACTGACCTCATGTTGATGATCTGCGCGGGCCCAAAGATCCCGATGTTCGTCCATACGACCGTACTATAATTCTGGGGGTTTTTTTACATCAAAGCGAACATTTTTTTTTGCAATTTTTCGATCAATTTTTTTGTATTTTTTTTTTTTTTGTGCGGGTGTGCCTGTGTTGGAAGGGAGGACTACAGGAAGTACTGACTCGCTCGATCCTGGCCTTGATCTCGTGCCAGGTTCTGCCCTCCAGGAAGCCCATGCAGGTGAAGAAGTAACAGGTGGCGAAGGAGGTGAAGAGGGCCATGTCGATTCCTACCCTACATAGTACCGCTGATCCAACCATAGATCTTAACAGTTTTTTTTTTCTTTCGGGTAAAAAAACTTGAAGGAATTAGCTGGGAGTACTTACTCTTGAGTTTTGATGTTGGATAAGTGATCCGGTTGAGTGTCTTATTCCTAATTATATCATATATAAACAGAAAATTCAGTTATCTTTTTTTTTGTAGGATTGAGGAGATCGGACTGACCACTTGTAAGCTAGCAACAAACAATGAACACATTCAGTCAGTGTTTGAGAAGAGAGCTAATTCTTTCTTTCTTTACTTACCGATGGGTGCCCAGGCCAGAGTTCCATAAGTGATTGAGCGCAAGGTGCGGGAGTACTATTTGGATGTATGATTGGTCAGTGTAAATAAATATGTATTTGCTAGTGATGGATGGATGGATGCTTACGTTATGGTCCTTCCATGGTTTTTGGTCGATGAGATGTTGTGAGATCGCATCTCCGATTGGAAAGATGACAGCTGTTTATTTAGATATTCAAGAAGAGCTTAGTTAGTTAGCTTATTTATTCTGGAATGGGTTAAGTTAGTCTGTTTTACCAGCAGTGGCCATCTGAGTTGGCAGGGTGTATGTCTGCAGTAGCCTCAGATAGCCTCTTCCTAAGCGTCCCATCATCCTGCAGCAGGTTATAGTCAGTAGTCAGTAGTTTTAAGTTTTGCTGGTTGGTGGCCTGAGCAGTCAGTTGATGAAGGTGCTGTGCTTTGTAGTGTTTTTTTAGTGGTTTATGGATTTAGGAGTGTATGCATTTAACTTCTTCCTCCCTCCTTCTCTTCCTTCCTTCCTCCTTCCTCTTGACCGTTCTACTTCTTCTACTTCTTCTTCTTCTTCTTCTTCCCGTCTTCCTCGTTCCTTTCCTTTTCCTTCTCTTCCTATACTTCCGTCTTCCCTCTTTCTCTCCAACCAAAACTCATGGAACCAACAACATGGTCACACTCACACTCTCACCAAAGAACGGCAACCACACCAGATACTTCCCACACTCAGGTTATCTAGGTCTCTCACCCGTCATCGTCACCGGTTACGTCCAAACCAGATTAGAGGAAGATAACCTACCACTAGAAGCATCAAGACTCGTCGTCAGAATCAGATGCTACGAAGCAGTCGGATCAACACTCTCAAAGGGCACCAGACCAGAAGAACAGCAACAACAACAACAACAACAACAACAACCATCCTACAACAAACTATCCAACATCAACGTACTCTGGCAAACCGAACAGACACTCTGGGCGGCCACTAACCAACTAGAGTATCAATCACTAGGAGATTGGAACGGATCCTGGAAGCTCATCATACCCACCAACGCAGTCGACCCTACTCAACCCAACTCATCATCATCATCACAACAACAGACAGCCAACTCATCATCATCATCATCATCATCTGCCGTCGGTTCGATTACCTACAAGACTTGGAGATCATGGTGGCAAGTCGAAACTGGTAAGAAGAATCCTTAACTTTTTTTCTCTGAGGAATAAGATTACTCATATGTCTACCTCATCAAACAGTCGTCTATCACAAACCGGCTGGAATCCTAGGATCAAAACTAATGAAATCTCATGGACTCTATCTGATCAACTATCGAGAGGCCGAGAAGTATTGCAACAGTCCAGAGGAAGCCACAACGACGATCCAGAGTAGCACGACGAGCAATACGAGGATCAGATACTCTATCACCTCACCCACCTCAGCATGCTGTGGAGACGAGATCCAACTCAAGATCCAGATCGGAACTCATAAACCACATCATCAACAACAGCAGCATCATCATCACCATCATCACCATCATCATCCATCATCATCCTCCTTCTCCTCCTCATCCTCACCAGTAACCGCAACAGCATTCGAATCGAACAACCAAGAAGCAGAGGAACTGATCCTCAAACGACTCCAGGTCTCACTCATCAGACGATTGGCCATCGAGCTCTTCAAGTCATCTCCCCCCTCCACCTCAGCATCCCAACAACCCCTCCAGATCGACCACCACCACAAACCATGGCGACTAGGAAGACATCTCGCCAACCCCAACCTCCGTCCGATCAACCCATTCTCATCCTCCTCTTCTTCTTCCTCCTCCTCATTGATCACCCCTAATAGCAACAGCAGTAATAGTAATAGTAATCTCATAGTTCCTACTAGTAATCTGAATAGCAAGAGACAGTTCACTACCGTTAATACTCTCATCACTAACACCGAAGGCATCTCCAAATCTATCGTCCTCAACCATCACCTCGATCAACATCACCACCACCAGCAGCAGCAGCAGCTTCTAGTCGACCCGCAACAACAACCACTCGTTCGATATGATTATGGCTTCCTCGTCAAATTGAAAATCCCGCTCGTCAAATCTAAATCTCATTACTCCATCGGTGAAACTTGTAAGACTAATTTGGCGACAGTTAATTTCTCATTTCAATTCAAAGTTCAGTAACTTCCTTTACCTCAAATGTTTCCAAATAATATAAGCAGGAAAGGAAGCTGATGACGGTCATGACATTTTTTACTTTTAGTTAACGATCAAGAACAAATTGACCAATAGATTAGAGACGATCGATTTATCGGAGCTCAATTTAGATGTCTATTCGATCTCACGAGCCGAGATCCAGAGTGCATTAACTCAACTCAAGAAACTCAGTAGTGGTCACAGTCTCAGTGTCCATCCATCGATCATCACCAATCACATCAACGGTCCGATTGGGAATGCAGCCGGAGGAAGTGGTCGGGATCCGGCCCCCCGTGTCTTCTCTCCCACCGCGCTCTCTCCTCTGCTCTCTCCGCTTCATCATCATCAGCAGCAGCAACAGTTACAGTTACATCAGCAACAACACCTCCATCAGCATCAGCAACAACAACAACAGCAGCAGCAGCAAAATCAGCATCATCAGCAACAACACCAACATCAGCATCAGCAACAACAACAGTATGGCAAACATATTCCTGCTCCTATCGCTTCTTCTTCTTCTTCTTCCTCTGCTTCAACTTCAAAGCCGAACTCACCGTCACCCGATCACACTCCCTCCCACCAAATCCCGCCCTTCTCGTTCCCTATCGAATCGCTCTCTCCCCATGAACATATGCATCATCATCATCATCAACATCAACAACAACAACAACAACAACAACAACAACAACCTGTTCATCATTAAGACTGTTAATCGTTAACCCTGGTCATCATTAACACTGCTACTCTTCACTTCGTTTTTTTTCCTCCTGATTTTTTTTTTTGCTTGAGCGTTCACTCGATTATTTTCTTGCTTCTTTCCTTTCTTTCAGAAAACCCTTGCGTACTTACTTCCTTACTTCCCTACCTACTTGATTCCTTTTTTTTTCCTTTCCCCCCTCTGTCGTTCTTTCTTTTCTCTTTTTTTGTTTTCCTGTGTCCTAGTTTTTTTTTTTCTTTTTCCGACCTTAATATGTGTTTTGGCAAGTCCTGTTTGGTTGGTTGCCGGGTTTTTCTTCTTCTTCTTCATGCTCTTTTGGTCTTCTTTCACTTTGCTCTTTTTTTTGAGGGTTATGAATAGTCATGTCAGGTACATAGAGATACATACAAACAAACACTGTTTTATTTCGGTCTTACTTTTTTTTTCATATCAGAATCATTTCATGTGCTATTTGCAATTGATTGATTGATTGATTTCTTTTTTTTTTTTTTTAGAATTCTTGTATGTAGCCTATACAGAGAAGTAAACAAACCAAAACCCCCCAGAACAAATCTGTTGCTTTTGGGCTATGGATGATCGAAACCTGAGAGTAGAGATGAGTATAGGAATAGAGTGACTGAGATGGAAGACTCCGACAGTGGATGGAGTCTGAAGGCCGAGCTCAGTGATGATCAATCCATGTAAATCTTTGTAATATGCATGCCAGTTCAGGCCCAAGATTTGGTGATGTAGAAAAAAAAAATGATGAGATTGAAGATCATAGGTTATGCTAGACTGATGGGACTGCTGCAAGCGGCTTTCCCCCAACATTATGTATCTCTAGCTTATCAAAGCCCCTTGAACTCAGGGGACCCCCCGCACAGAGCGCTCTCTGTAGGAGAGGCTTGTGAATTATGTTGGAAAGCTTGCAGAGACAGGAGGGATTTTCAGTCCGAAAACTACGTGTAAAATTACATTTTTATGGGGGTAATTGATGAAATTTTGACTGGAGAGGCGGAGAATTTTTAGAGAAGAGAGAAACTTTTTGGGCAACAAAAAATATTTTTGTTGGAAAGACTCAAGGGTTGGGAAAAGAGTGTGAGAGCCAATGTGTTTTTTACTTAGAGGAGACTACGCGTTAAATAGTCCACATACAAGAGGTCAAACATGTGGTTGAGAAAAATGAATATCAAAATGAATAAGACAGATTAACATATGCTTGAAAAGATGACTGGAATAAGTGTAAGTTGATAAAGACTAGACCAGGGTTTGAAGACTACAAGGATTTCAGCACTAGACAACATACCAAAATATCACGCAGAAACTATCAAAAACAAAGTAAAAATCATGTAAATTATTTATCAAATCATATTTAATTTAACAGTGAGATAGATGAGTTTTTTAGGGATGAGAAGAAAAGAGATGAAATTCCAACAGTAATGCATAATTTTACAACCCATCTGTGATTTTCAAAGGCTGTAAAAAATGGTTTGCTAAAATTGCATCACAACATTGGATTATGTAATTTTACAAACCATATCATGCAAGTCTTGCATGAAAGGGTGGTAAAGTGGTATAACAAACCTTAAATTTAGAAATTTCACAAGACATATGCTTGCAAACCTTAATGTCTTGTGAAACTGTGTATGTAAAAAAGCTTATTGACACCCTGTCATAGAATTTTACAACACACATAGTGTACAATCTATCATTCAACTTTCAATACATATCCATTAAGCTTCATATAAGCTTCATACAAACTTTTGACAAACCCAGGCCTTGTCCCCACCTCCCACCCTTTGTCAAACATCACCAACAACTCAACATGAACGGTCATTGATGAAGGACACAATCCCATCAAGGGACCGGTTTTAACCAGTCCTTGATGGGAGTAAAGACCCCCAAACACCCCCATCAATGACGGTTCAAAACCGTTCATTGATGGAGGACACACTCCCATCAAGGACCAGTTTTAACCAGTCCTTGACCATTGATGACCGGTTTTGCCCGGTTATCAATGGGGGTGTTTACTCCCATAAATGACCAGTTCTGACCGGTCATTGATGATTTGATGGAGGTGCTTACCTCCATTTACCTCCATCAAGGACCGGTCAAAACCTGTCCTTGATGGAATGATGGAAGTGTGTCCTCCCATTGATGACCGGTGTTGACCGGTCATCAATGGGGGTGTTTGGGGGTCTTGACTCCCATCAAGGACCGGTTAAAACCGGTCCTTGATGAGAGTGTATCCTCCATTGATGACCGGTTTTGACCGGTCATTGATGGGGGTGTTTACTCCCATCAAGGACCAATCAAAACTGGTCCTTGATGGGAGTGTGTCCTCCCATTGATGACTGGTGTCATAAATGGTCATCAATGGGAGGACTGTATGGCCAAATTGGCTGATGGGTTTGTTTTTTCATTTTTTCATTTTTTTTGTCTATTGTGGCACGTCAGTGCCTCCATAGTGTGTCAGCCTTAGAGATCCTCAAGAGTATCCAAAAGACTGCTTAATAACATATTACTTGTAATAATAATAAGAAAACCTAGAATATTATTGTATAAATGAACTTTTCATAATATTTTAGAGGGGGTTGCTCACTGGAACCATCCCCAAATTCCTACTCCTTCTAGAACTTTGTCATAACTCAAGAGCCTCAGAGGTTAGTAGGAATAAAAGTATAAAACACCTTAAAAAGATTATAAAATAAAGATAAAAACAAATATTAAATTTATAGTTACAACCATAAATTGAAACTATAACCCAAAGTGTAGAAATTACCACCTTTGTTAAGTGTGTGGTAATTTCCATCAGTATTATTCTATTATAAGTAGACACATGATGTAATTGGCTATAGCAATGCATCATGATGTCATGGGGACATAGATAATACTGTATTTAATCTACTACAATATTCTCATTACATCATGAGAGAACTACTATTGTAGTACATTAAATAAACATTCTAGAATATTCTAAGAATGCCCCCAAGGGGGACTCTAGAATATAAAAGGAGGCCATTCCTGGCCTAAGATTGGTTCCTCAGCATATTCACCCACAACATACTTAGTAAGTACAGTGAATATTCTCCTCCTACTTTTAGAGTAGTCATCCCAATCCCAATCTTCCTTTTACTACTGGAATTATTAGTGTGTAACTTTGAAACTCCCCTTTCATCCCTCACTAAAATTCCTTATAAAGCAGTTGCTGCAAGACTACCACCTCTGACAAGTAGCCAATCAGCTCAAGTGCTTGCCAGCTGCTTCTTAGCAATTATTATTGCTTTAAAATCCAAACTATAACAATTTATTAATTGTTATAATCTCCTGTTATTTGGTTCATTAGAAACAAATAAGCTTAAAGGAGTGTGGACTTAACCTTTGTGGAATTTGGACCACATATAAAGGGTGAAAAATAGTAATTTTTTTCTTTGATAGTCCTTCAGCACAGTGATAGCACCTGGTTTTTATATTATTTAAACCAGTGTAGCATACACAAAGCTGACATAGTGTCTCCCTCTTTTTTTTTTTTTTGGAGGGTTGCAAAACATGGTTTGTAAAATTCAATTTTACCTACTATGTTGTGCAATTTTGCAACACATAAATTACAACTCATAGATGGGTTGCAAACTAATGGCTGCAAAGTTCATTGAAATAAGGCAAAAATATACTTTTGCACATCATATTGTTTGCAAGACAGAAGGGTTGCAACATATGTGCCTTAAAATTGTCAGCTATCAAGTAAGAAAAGGTTACTGGGAGAGGTTGCTGTTCCTAAAACGGGATAGTGACAAGTTTTGAGAATTCAAAGGCTGTTCAGGTTCAGGGATTTACTGATATAACTAAAGAAAGGTTGACTCCAGGCTTTCGACTAGTTCAGGGATTGGTGCAATATAACTTGAATAGCGGTCTTGACAGTAGATCCTAGATGTACTTGAAGACTAAGAGGAGTGTAATACGTTGTGGCGGCAAGAGCGCGCTCTGGCCGGTTTGTTTGGGGGCATGCAGAATGCTTGCGGCTGATGCGGAAAGCATGCGGAGCTGACGCTACGCACGCAAGCTGAGGAAAGCGGTGGTGCATTAGGGGAAAGTCTAGCTTTCCGAGGCGCGGGAAAGCGGGGAAAAGTAGACCAAATGCGCAAGGTTCTGAAAAGCTTGCTGCGGGGAATCCGGGCACTGGCGGACATCAGGATTCACGGCCGACTGCGGAACGGGGGTTTAGTGTATACTGTGGAGGGGCTACAAGGAGCGGGGAACACCGAGGGGCGGAAGCGGGGTTCGGAGCGGACCAGAGGCGGAAGCGGTGGTGGGAGACCTGACCATGAGCGGCTGGAGGAGTACCTGGACTGACAGGTGTCGGAGGGGTGACATGCGGAGTACGAGGGAGTGACAGCAGAGGACATTGCGGGAAGCAGGAGGGAACTTGAGTGTGGGATATTTGGGAGGGGTGGAGTTCGGAGCAGAAGAGAGGAGGAGGAGGGGGATGAATCGGAACATATCAGAAAAACAGAGTGACTTAGGAGTGAATCGTGTATTAGCCTAAAGAATTGTTAGAGATAGAATAGAGTTAGAGTGTTACCTACCAAAAGATCAATAAAAGAACAGTTATTCTACCTACCTACAAGACCATCAAGCAAGTTACCCCGGACAACAAATCGGAGTAGGACGTGTTGCAGAGCGGAGAAGTACAAGAAATCTCCGAAGGGCGCACTTACTTTCCACAACGTTTTGAGTAAATGTTGTCTCTCTTGGATTTCTGAGGAACATAGAAATAGAAGAGAACAAAGCTTATATAGTATGTACAAGGCATAATACTGTATAAGCATAAAGAGATAAATTGAATAAAGAGAAGATGCATATTGTAGTCTGTGTAGTAACTGGAACATTATCTGGTGACAGGTATTGTGAAAGGTACTTGCAGGCTGACAAAAATTCTACTCCAAGGGGCTTGGGTTGCAATTTTAAGGCACATATGTTCACCAGGGGAGTTTGCTCAGCACCTGCTTTCAAGTGCCATCGCGTAGTATTCATCTGGAACCCTGTCAGATGTCTCCTAGAACCTTACCCTCATTTGATGTTGAATTTGTGCTGAATTCATGCTGAACTTATATGATCAACTTATCTGAATTCATATTGAAAATGGGTTGAATTCAACTTGGAACAATCTTCAACTTGACTATATACACAATTGGAACTCTTCTAGAACAAAATCTGCATTGTCAAGCATCAGGTCTGGTTTTTAGTAAAAATGAGATTTTTAAATAGCTCAATACATCAAACAATTATCCATATTCTAACAGCTGGTAAGTATATATTCCACTGGTTGAAGGCAACAGACATGGTTTCCATGTGGTTATTCATATGCTTGAATTTTACATATTATTGGCTTGGTTTTGCCATTTAAACATGAATCTATCTGTTTTACTTTGGCTCTGCACATACCAATCACTTACCATATTTGGAGT